CTCTGGTTGGCTGGCGAGCGGCACGGCCCTATAGTGAAAAAAAACCTCTCAAAAAAAAAAAAAAAAAGAAATGCAGGCTGATTGTCAACCTCCATTATATGTCACAAGCAAATATGACAACAGTTACTCTAAAAGGAAAAGAAAGTATCAATTATTACAAGTCCCTAAAACTAAAATACCTCCACAAGGCTTCTCCTCCCTGACCCCGTATCCAACTAGTCACCCACATTCTGTGCTGTCCATCCCTACTGCCCCCACATACTCTCTTCTTTGGAGAGGTGTTACCTTAGGGTGCATGTGCTCACCAGAGAGAAAGAGACAGAGACAATGAGAGGGAAAGTGAGAGATCATCCCCAGGGGGGTTGGCCACACTGCAATCCCTTCTCCTCCATTCCCCTCCTGGGATCTTAGGCATGCATGCACAAGTGCCCAGTGTGATGATTCCAAGCTACCAGGTCCAAGACTCAAACCACTGTCAGCCATGTGGGAGTCCAGTAATGTAACTGCCATGCCACCTGCTAGCCCTCTGCCTTCATGTACTTTAACATCTACCATACTACTAGTGACTTCCTGAGGAGTCTCCAGACTCTTCAGTGAGCTAATGAGCACCTACTTCATACTGAACGGGAGAAAACCCCACCAGGTGTTAAACAAAGAAAAATGAGACTGTTGTTTGAAGATACTCCTTTCCCCTCAATATTCACACCAAGAGAACTATTAAGGGAAACAAAAACACCAACTCTATTTTGGCTAAAACCTGAAGACATATGGAAGCCCAAACCTGGAGAGCAGATGGAGAGATAAATGGTGCAGAACCGGGAAGCCCAGGCTGGTGGAGGGGCATAGGTGGAAGGTAAGCCAATGAACCCTTCAGAACCTCAGAAAGGCTCCGGCTCAGGAGGGACCAAGTCCTTCAGAAGGTATAGGTAACACACTGAACTGAAAACAAGGAAATGGCTGACATCCACATACGGAACAATCGGACCCCCAACTCCCTACGAACTCCATGACAACACACCCCTCATCACATAACACAGAAGGCTCCAGACACAATGGAACATAGGAAAAGGAGGACCCAGGCAAAAAGAAAAGGAATTAAGTGAATGACCAGGCTACCCCCACCTCCCAATTCCCTATCCCAATTCCCTTATCACTCCAGCTCCTAGTACATGGCCTGGTACTGCCAGGGTGGAGAGGAAGGAGACAGAGGGAGAGAGAGACAAGTAGGAAGAATACTGAAAGAAGCAGGAGGAGGTGGGAAGGCCCCCTGCCAAAATCTTTCAGTGGTTCCTGTTACGTTGGGATAATCGTTCATGTTCTGGAAGCTGAGTATAATAGCTTTGGGAGGTGGTGAGACTTTTAAGAGGCAGGGCCTAGCAGACAGAGGAAGTGGAAAAGTCTGTTTCCTCTTCCTCTCTTTGCACTCACCTGCCGTCCTCTCTGCTTCTGTCAGCCATGTTGACGTAGTCCCAGATGCCAACACTTGGGGTTGCTGGACTTTGCAGCCACCAGAATCCTAGGTCTAAATCCTAAATAAACTCTAGGTCACCCAGTCTCAGGTATTTCTGTCAGCAACACAATAACAAACTAATACAGTTTCCAAATACTTGAAGAACTGATATCAAGATCCAGAGCTGACCCACTTTAGCCTCTAACCCACTGTTTTCCTATGCATGACTCCTGCATCAGTCCAAACACATGACCAACACCACCCCACACTTTCACACCTGTTATTATCTCCAGATGTCCCCTCTTCCTGAATGACTCCCAACCCCTGACCTGCCTCCTGCCCTCTACAACTGCTGTGTGGGTGAGCCCTCCACAGAGAGCACAGTTAGGAGTGGGACCCAGGAACTAGATGGCAGGGTGGAACCATTCCTTACTCCAACCCTTACTAGTTCTATGTAAGAACTGTTCCAAAAGTAACTATACCTCTCAGTGACCAAGTTTAACCACTGGTATAAAGGACAGGAAGAGTAGCTTCCTCAAAGTCTGCTGTGAGAAATAGAAACATATGAAGTAATTAGCACTCAAGAAAGTTAGCGTTTCTTAATTTTCATTGTTGGTGCAGAGTATTAAACAATCTTCCCTGTGATCATTTACTTCCTTTTCTTCCTATGAATACATGTGAGAGTTAATGTTGTGGGAGGGACAAATATTAGGGAAAAGGTACTTTCCATATGTTTTACCACCTCCACTGAGATTTCAAGTAAATGGTGTGATGTAACCCTCAAGCCCTGCCAGGTTAAAGGCAAATAGAAGCCTGATTCTTGGGGACTACACATCAAAGATCTAAAATAAAAAGTGACCAAAAGTGTCTCTTCTTCCCTTGCTAACTGAAAGCTGGCCTCCTTCCAAAGCTTCATCAAGTAAGAGAAATTCTGATCCGCTAAAGCAGTCATTTAAGCAAACCACTTTCATAGTATCATGATCAGAAGCGTGTCATAGGCAAGCCACTTCCCCAATCTTGGCCTCAGTTTTCTCATCTTCAAAATGTGAAGACTGGACACAATCTAGATGGTTCCTCTTCCAGTTCTTAATTTTAACACCCTATGAATGTATCTGTCACAGCCGCACTTCAAGAGAACTCTGTAGCTACCATGTACACACATTTGGATCTATTTTTGTTCTCTCCCTTTTCAATCTACGATATAACCAAAATGCAACCACAACATCGGTGACCCAGAGGAGGTTTTCAAAACAATCATTTCTCTGTACAGCCACAAATACAAATTCCTACCAAGGCCAATAAGAGGAGAATGAAAAGAAACTGGAGAGATGAATACAAAGGGAAGACAGAAGTAGAAAGACAGGTTATAAGAAATAAAAAGCAATGATTCAGGATACATAAAAAAGCAAAGGAGAAACTTGTGACTAAGAAACCCAGACTATACTCAGATTACTTTAGCTACAAGTGGATTTCACTCAGATCCTGTGCGCAAATGCTTGCGGGCTTCCATGGACCAAGGGCATACACACAATATGGCCTTTATTAAAGGCCATCTTTAAAAATGCTCTCAAAGTTTTATGTCCTTGGAGAAAGGATACATTTGAAATTTAAGTAACAAAGCTCAATCAATATAATCAGGGGGAAAAGTCCAATACAGACAGAAAGGAAGACATTTCATACCCAGAATGAGATATTCACCCATCAAATAAAAGGACAATGAACTAGGAGAGAGAAGGAAGGGATGAAAATAATTTTATTTAAAAAATTATTTCAGCAAACTTTTGCTTGAATTTTGAAGTATCAAAATATTAAACTTGAGGGACTGGCAGGTGGTGTGGTGGTTAAAGGCACTGGACTCCCACAGGGTTAACCACGGTTCAATTTCCAGACCTGGTAGTTTGCTGTTTCACTTTCTTTCTCTCCCTCCCTCCCTGGTCAAAATTAAAATAAATAAACAAAAATTCTTAGAAAAAATATTAAACTTAAAATAAAAACATGGAATTTTACCTGTTTACTTATTTATTATTAATACCCAGAGAGCACATGTGCTGCCAGGGGCAGGGGGCAGTGCAGCACCCCCAGTAGGGCACTGTCACACTGCAATCACTTCTCCATTTCTCCATCAGGATTTGGGCACACATGCACAAACACCCAGCATGTTTCTCAAGTCACTGGGGCTGGGATTTGACCTGCTGCTGGCCATGTGGAAATCTGGCTCTTTTAACCAGTAGGATATGGGTCAAGCCATTGAATTTAAGTGGAGAATAAAGTAAAGGTTTGTTTACATTTTTGTGATGGGAAAACAGCGAAACAATGAAAGGAAAAGGGTATTACAAGATAAGATAAAACCATCTATGCTGAATGATTCTAGAAATCTGTGCGTTAAGTGTAGAGCTGGTGTGGAGAGATGTCTATTCTAGCACAAAGGAGGCCACTAAGCCCACCACTCCGATGATGATGATGATAGCAAAAAATTTTCTTCTTGAAAACATAGATAGCTAAAAAAGTGATAAAGAAAAGACAGTCTCAGACCAGCAGGTGGCATGGTGGTAAAGGTGCTGGACACTCCCACATGGCTGACTGTGGTTCAAATGCCGGACCTGATGGCTTGCTTTCTCACTTTCCCTCTCTCTCTCTGTGTGTATCTCTCTCTGGTCAAATTAAAATAAATAAGTAAAATTGA